GAAGTACGCGTATATCGAATCCGTAGCTTTTTATTGTTACACGTTGGAAATGAAACATTTTTTCTGATTCAAATCGCGTATATTTGTTTTTTCAAACAAACCAAGGTTTCAGACCCTCCTGGTCCCGTAGTCATGTCTGATTCTTCAACGATACACGATTTATATCCGAAAAAACCAGCTCCAACAAATTTGGTGCGAGAATTCAGTTTTACAAGTTTGGCAACCCTGATGTCGTAACGTATATCGTTAACAGCAAGTAACACCTAAATAGTTCCATTGTCTCCAAGTTATCAACCGAGCAAAGATCTGAAACTGGTAGATCAGTTGGACGGATAAACCGGACTGTAACTTAGGGACGCGTTACAAACTTCGCACCATAAGTAATAAGTACACTATAGTACAGACAAGAGTATAATAGAGTACAACATGCATGCATGCATGCATGCATGGCGACATAGTCCACAATCAATTTTGATAATTTGAGTTGGTTTTACGCCTGTTTATGAAACTACATAACATTTTAACGAGGTTTGATTTATTAATTGGACTAAATTTTGACTCCCAATTGATAATTATGAGTAATATGTAGAAATTACAGCTCCTTGCAAAATAGTTCGCCCAGGGAAGTACTCCACCTTACCTACTTCTGCCGCCAAGCAGTAATGTGAGCATTAGTGCGTTTCGGTTTTCAAAAGTAAAGGACAAGTAAGGGAAGGGTGAAATTACAGGGACATGGGACTTCTTGACTTATGTTTCAGGGCGACGGCGGTGACAGTTCCCCTCAGATCTTTGTAATTTAAAGCTCTGAGTGGCACTGCAACAGCTATGGGCAGGCGTATCGGTTACCATCAGACGCATCACTTATTCTTTGTTGTTGAAAGCTACTAGCTTCGTCTGGGAATTGAACTGACAAAATGTAAAAAAAACTCGAAACAACGGAACAACGGAAATTATTAGAATTAATTCCTTATAATATCGAGTTCTTAGGTTTTCGCGATTGTTACACATAGGAAATGAAACTATTTTTCCGGATTTAAATCGTTCATTTCCTTATAAGTAATACAGTACTCTAATTTAAAGGAACATCGTTCAATTATACAATTTATAACCTGCCTGTATATTTGATATATACTTTTAGAGGTTTCTACTTACATTATGAAAATATCCAGAACAGCTATTGTTAATTTAAAACCAGGTTGACAATCCATTCCATACATAATAATTTTGCTATATCCAATGTGCTCAACTCAAACAGTCCCAAAGATGTCGGCAAATCAACATAAAACAATGTCACCACCGCAGAATTAGAGAACTAGAGGTGTTTTTAATATGCTGGATTCTCTGGATATTGACGCACTTTACTTTGAATAAAGCAAGAGTCTTGAACATTTTGTACCTCTGATGTTTGTGATTTTTAGATCTGAGTGGCACTGCAACTGTTATAGCCACCAGGCGCACAACTTGTTCGTCTGTCACTTAGTGTCATAAAAACAACTTCACGTATGTATGAATGACGTACTACTTATTAATCATTATTTCTAAACCTGTAAATCCATATAAAAACTTATTTGGGAAGGTTTTTAAAATCAAATATTTAACCATTTACATATTTTCGTGAATTACATTTAAAATATTTTATTACAATTTCTCACAGATGGCGTTACCTAAAAAGTCAAAAAACCAAAAACAAAGGACTGTAACAAGCACATAGAACAAATATAATTCGTAAGGTCCACTAGTTCGTTGCCTAGGTTAGTTGGCGTAGCGTCTGAAGAAATTCTTTTTTAGTGTTCGATCTTTGTATTTATAATTATAACAAACTAGTGGAGTAATTTCACAAAAATAATTGAATATCATGGTGGTCAAACATCGTGACATTAAATAAAATGTTAAAAATTGCATTTAGTTAAAAGTTTTTTTTTTCAACTCAATAATAAACGCGTCAATAAACTTTAACATGAAATAATAACTGTACGTCCCGTTAACCAAGTCAAATTAATATGTAGCTTTCTTCTTTTTCTTATTGCTCTTGACTTTCGCAGTTAACGTTTACTTACGTGTATAAAGTGTAAAGCGTTTTTACTAAACTTGTTAGCATTCTTGTATAATATATATAAATTCACTGGTTCAAAAATGATACTTACTTAAATTAGTGACTTTCGTAAATTTGTCCGACTGTATCGATTCTAGTTTAAATAGAGCTACGAAGTAGGGTATAACTTACGCTTAGCTCCTTGAGGGGTGCCCCTATCTCAGTGTAGCTACTTAGATGCAAATAAGAAGATTATATCCACCGATCTTCCCACTAACTGAGAGGGCGGGATTAGAACACAACTCACAAAGTATTGTATAGTTTGAAATGCCACATAGCAATTAAACCATTTGTTTTCATACACATAAAAAAAGTTAGGGTAAACCCGGGGTAGATGCCGCAGTGGTATAAGTGCCTCGTTTTCAAAAAACCCAACGTGCCCGAATCACAGCAAACAATAATTAGTTTAAATAAGAGTATACACCACTCATCAAAGTTCTTGCAGGGCTTTGATGAGCGGGTTTGGGTTGTGCATGCGATATCTCCGACGAACACGACAAACGGTTCAAAATTTCAAACGCAAATATTTATTGTCACATAACTTTGTAAATTATAATAAATTCCGTTTTATTTTTATTTTATAAATAGATGGTTATCCATACACTGTTGATAATACGATTTTGCAATAGACATGCAAACATGAATGGATATAGATTTTATATTCTTTATCAATTAAATGTGACATATAGCTCAATCATGCATTAAGACTAGCTTTCCCACGATATTAAAAATAATTAACGGTAATTTCAATGTCCTTTCCATATATTTGAATTGTATTTGACACATCGGGTCGATGTCGCAATTTATCGCGTCGCGGTCGAGGGGCGATGATGGGCGCGCTCACCCTACCGATATCCTGTAATGCTATTGCGCTAATCGCTTTGATCTTATTAACTGTTCGATACGCTTCATACAAATAGTAGGCAACGTTTTGTGTATCCAAGTGCCAAAATTAAATAGTGTTTACCTTATATTTCCTATACGATATAATATGCTACGCATGTAAGTGATGGCTACGCTTGTAGATGATGCTACGCGCGTAGACAAAGATTGAGATACGTTAGATCTTGCCTTTAGACGACTACTTATTATTTCTCTCTAAGTTACATTAAGATGTTTTAGTTATCTTATAATATTATATTTTTATTAGGGAGTGCGAAAACAAGCATGTATGTATAATAAAAATAATGCGCCACGTACATTGGAATCCAGTAATACATTTAATAAGATACTAACTTAAAACTTTATGTTATTTGAAGAGGCAACCTGTACATAATTTCATTTTTCCGCAAATTCTCAGTCATAAAATCCTTTTGAAACTACGCCAAAGGGGATAATTACGACACTTCGCGGCTTTCCCTCGAGGCTCGAAAGACGAGCAGTAAAGTCGTCTAAGCCCGCTTCAGCAAAAAAAGAAAGGATCGTTTCTTGAAAAGGATTCGCGGCATTAAGGTCGGACGCATTTCACACCATTGCCGAAAAAACTATTTTTTTCTTATTAACTAGTGTAACATCACGCGATTACGTCGCTGATAGACGTACTTGTAGGTGGACTGGGAATTATTAACTTCCGGACTCTTATTATGGTACTATATCAAGATACTTTTATTTTAATATATTTTAGAAAAATTTACGGAGTAATTGCAATTATAGTTATCCTTCAAGATGTGTAATCAAATGATATCAACAACTTCTACATTTAGCAAACAACATAAAGTGCTTAACGAAGATAATAACAGCTTCGTAATAAACATAATTGTACAAAAATTACTGAGAAGTTAATGAAATAATAAGAACAAAAATAAAAGACAAATATTCAGAAGATAGGGTATCATCGCCATTTACGTGATGCGTCAAAGTGTTTGGTCATTTCCCGATTGGCTGTATATATGTTGGTTTGTTGTGTTTTCTAGTAAGGTTAATGACATAGTATCACAATAATAAGGTTCCAGGCAACTACACCAATTACCTGGTTTCAAAGTAGTTATTTCCATATACTGTGAGTAATAGATTAAGCTCCGCTGCATACGCAGTCCGCAGAATACGTGAGCTTACCGATGTTAGTACTGCTAGACTAGTTTACTTTAGTTACTTCTATAGCATAATGTCCTACGGGATTCTCATGTGGGGTAAACAGGCAGACATTCAAACCGTATTTGTATTGCAAAAATGAGCGATTCGTTCTGTGTACTGTTTAGGCTCTCGGGTTTCTCTCAGAGAAAAATTTAAGGAGATTGGTATCATGACTGTGGCATCACAGTACATTTACTCAAATATTTTATTTATATAAAAAGTTGTCAGTAATAACATAAAAAGTAAGTGATAATTTAATAAAAAAAAAAAACAAAAGATAGTACGGTGTAAGAACAAGCCATGGTAAGCGTTAAAGAAAGGGGGCGAAGGGGAAGTCTTCAGTAAACGAACAAAAACACCAACGTTATTAACGAGATTGGTGTAATCTGACTAATCTTTTTTGAGAAGCAAAAGGGATCTGCTTAGAAGTGTCAATTAATGAATAAATATTTCTTTTCTTGACTAAATCGCCGGGAAGGATTTATCTTTTTCAATGTAAAATATGTAGAAAACATATAATTGATTAATGTTCTGGTCTCAGTATATCGATGTAGGTATTGTGCCCATTGTAATAGTTCTATGTTCTGAGTAGTAGTAGAGCTCCTTGTGAAAGAGTTCGTCCAAAGAACAACTGCGACCTCACAGGTTTCTGCCGCCAAGCTGTAATGTGACCATTGCTGCGTTTCGCTTTTGAAGAGTAAAGAGTGACGGGCGCAGGGGCAGTGCCCTTCAGATCATTGCGATTTAAAGCTCTGAGTGGGACTGCAACTGTTATGGACAAACGGGTCGTAATACTTGTGCGTCCCGTCATTTGGTATAAAACAAAAATCTGTTCACAGGTGACCGGCTGCTCGACATTCCATGCAACGTGTGCGGCGACAGGAGCTCCGGCAAACACTACGGCATCTACAGTTGCGATGGTAACGATATTTGACATCATTCCTCGAGAAGTGGAAGTCCTCGACAAAAATAATCTTGTGAACCCAAATACAAGGTAGCTGCTGTACACTGTTGAGGAGTTCCTCTCATCTATCTGATATTTCTGTTGGAATTACATCTACACATGTGCCAACTTTTATTGAAATAGTTTAACGGAAAGTGAGTAAAATTCAACTAATTTTCTTTCCACGCTAGCGTGGAAAAAGCGCTTTTGAGCGCAGATTTCTAATGAAAAGAAAGCCTGTCCGAGCTAGTGAGGTGAAAAGGTATTGCCGTATGTAGTCAAAACTATATTAATGCCAAAAATAATATGTGCGACTAATAGTTTCATACATTTTTAACTGACTTAAAAAAAGGAGGAGGTTCTCAATTCGTTTGTATTTTTGTGTTACAAAGTTAATTAGTTCTCGGGTCATCTATGATAATGCAAATAAGAAAACAGTGATAAATAACATAAGGTTTACCTTTTTAATGCACCTTTCAACATAAATACTTTGTACAAATATGTACCTAACTAACATCAGTAGATCTGGCGTCAGGTAAATAAACGGGTGACCAAGCCGTCACCAAAGGTAATTGATTTAAATATAAATGAAATGTCCTCTGCTAGGTTGTTCGGGTTTCTTCAAGCGATCGATCCACCGCAACCGCGTGTACACGTGCAAAGCAGGAGGCGAGATGAAAGGCCGCTGCCCAGTGGACAAGACCCATCGCAACCAATGCCGGGCCTGCCGCCTTGCTAAGTGCTTCCAGGCCAACATGAACAAGGATGGTAAGTAATCATCGGTTCTACCCGTCCACAGCAAAAACAGTACTATTGGTTATTCTTTTAAATTAACAAGTTGTAGTTGGTTCTCTTAAAACATTTAGTATCTCCTTTGCGTTATGACATGGATTTCTTCATAAAGTGTGTCAACAGGGCCTTCAAAGGCTAGGAACGCATAGGCATCTCATCAGATGTTACAGATGTTCATGAGTGACGATGACTACCGACCATCAAGTTGCTCGTCTGCTTGTTTGCCTAAAAAAATGCTCCATGTGAATATTAGATAGTCTTCGCGTGAATGTAACAAAAATACCTCTATGTAATTGTCACTACCACAGACCATATTTCTTCCGTGGTCACTACCATCGACTGCTATTTCACCCGTCATTGACAAAGTAATGCCATTTTGAATGGCTCTTGCGAATAACACAGGATTTGTACATGGAAATAAACGTTTGTTACTATACTAACATCGATTCTACTACCTACATTACAAAACTACCCACTGACATGACTTGTCGATGATTTCGCTATGAAATTCACTCTGAAAGTGTGTAAAGAATAACAGAATAACATAATACTAGTTATTCACTGGTGTTCGAGAAGCAGACTTACAACATTATCATCAGGTTGACGTAGTCCACTGCTGGACAAAGACCTCTCCCAATGAGTGCCATTTCGCTCGGTCTTCATCTTGTCGCAACCATCTTCAGCTACTTGATCTGGCCAAACCGTCTAATCGTCCTACATTACGTTTGCCGAGCCGTGGTCTCCACTCAAGAACTCGTTTCGCCCATCGGTTAACGGTTCCTCGACAGGTATGGCCAGCCCACTGCTATTTCAGCATGCTTATTCTACCTGTCGACGACCTTGGTTCTCTGTCGGATAACCTCATTTCACATTTTATTCAACAGACTTACCTAAAGACAAATTCTTGCATATTCCTACAGACACTGTCGCCCTACATTACAGATAGCCAACAACAAGTGTAAATAAGTAAATAATTATATTACCTATATTACACCTCGCAATTACTGTGAATTGCACTTGTATTAGCGTACAAGTAGTCACTGTACATTTTCGCTATTTAAATTCCATAAAATGAATAGGTTTTCATGAATTCATTCGTAGCGTGGAAAATGATCACAAAAGACACATGACAATAGTCGAATGTACAAGCGGGTCCATCACGCTCGCAGCGGGTTGTTTTGTACAATTTTGTGAAACAGGTGAAATATGGTGTTGCCGGCGGCGGCTCCATTTCCCCGGCACTTTTCGATACTATCTGTCATTACGTCATTCGTACTCGATATTGTGTACTGGCTATTGTTCGGTTTATTTATTATGATTCTGTCGTTCGTAACGTTCTGCGCGGTAATAAATATCGAACGTCGATGTCTTTTATCCCGTACAGCCTGCAATGAAATCTTGGTAGCAAAATCAAAATTCGAATTGCATAGGAAATACTCATTGAAATTCTAAAACATTTTGCACAAATAATGGGCAACATTTTATAAATGTAGAACACTGTGACAAGTGAACATACTCCTACGAATAATTTATTTATGCATAGGTACATGTTAATGCAGGAAGTGCACAATAATTTTACTGTTTTTCTTTTGTGATTGTAAATCTCAGCTATTATATTATATATTATATTATACATTATAGTTGTCGATGTGCAAATACAGCTTTTTTTATAAGTGATTCTTCTAGGTACGATTAAACTACAAATCGCATCATCGAAATCGAACAACAATTGTTGTTAAAATGCTTTTTTAGTAAAATGTAATTCGGATAAATTCACAGAGAACTTGATGCCGGGTGAACAACTATACAGGTCTGTGGTCTGTGATACTGTAGAAACTAGTTCCCTTGGACATCGCGTAGTTCTGAGTTCGGCTCTCCCATTTAAAAATAGAAAATTAATCATTTAAGCCATGGGAGAGATGAGAGTCTAAAATCGATATCCAAAATAATAGTATTATTTTGTTTGCTTCAAATACGGTATAATAAAAGTTGTAACAGAAAAAGAACACAGTAGGTACCAATACAAATATGTTTCGCATATATCAAAACGCCTACAAATGTTTAATGATAAAATAATATAATCAAATCTACTACTGCAATAAATAAAAAAGTCACAAGTTACAATTTAACAAATTAAACTTGTCAAGAATCATAAAAATTACGTCGTAATCATTTACAATAATTTAAAACTATTGTTCTAAATATTCATTCACACTGTAGTATTTATTTTTAATAATTAGCCATTCGTACAATTCAGTCATTGACGTTAATGAATTCAGTAGTCATTTTCGTATATGTCACACTCATACCTAGATGTCAAGCTCGTTCTATGCAGAAAGCGGCTATTCTACAACTAGTTCTAACGAAATATTTTATTTACTAGATATGAACAATGTAAAACATTCTTCCAAATAAGGGAGAAGCTATGTCGTACATTGTCCTTATGTTTGCGTTACCGACTATACCGAAATAGAATTGTTCAAAAATAGGTCAGCGCCATCTACCGATATGTAACAGGACTATATTTACATTGTACTTACATATTAGGATTTTGTTTCACATTGTACTTATTCTTTCACCTATTGTAATGAAACGGTCAGCTCGCACGTAAAGCATATCCAATTCTATCAGGGTATCGCAGCATCACAGCAGTTTAAATGTACGTAAACACCTCTCTAAGTAAAATCTTGTGAATAATTGAATATTCATAGCGTCCCACGTCGGCCGCAAGTCGGGCTTCAACTCCATGTGACGAAACCTTCATATATGAATCATATTAAACAGAGCTAACTCTAGGGTTGTATCAGTACTTAAAACACTAATGCAGTTCCTGTTTTGGTTACACGCAAGAAAAACATTCTATTAACTCATTTAATCGATAAATTATCTGCTATGCTCTCAGTTTCAATATAAGTACCTACCATCAACCCACATCGGTGTTTGTTTAAGAAACCAAAGTAACCCGCCTAGAAAGCGTAACGGTTATGGTAAATAATGATATCTTATTTCGGAGACGCTAATTGTAGACTAATGTAATGATATTTATAGTAACCTACATAGGTAAGTATAAATGGTATAAATAAACTTCAGAGTAACCGAAGGCAGCCCTGCTACTCTGCGGTCTCGCCGCAGGTGCTCGGCGCTCATTTATTCACGAGCATCACTTTGTGCCGCCGCGACCCGGATTACCTTTATATGTTTACCCGGTCGCGTAATTATACGCCCTCACGAATCTTACCCGCCACCCACAGACGCTGGTTGATATAGTACTCGTTTAAATAGATAAAAAAACTCCATTGCATATTTATAATTTTTTTTTTCAGGCGGAACATATTGTTCTAGTAGGTTTACACGTAGTTTGCACCATTTATGTCTTTATAGTATACAAAATATTGCCTGTTTTTTAATACACACTCTCATAGCCCCGCACTAGGGAAGCCCAGTACCGCGGGCGCCATGGACAAACACATAGGTAGACAACCACAAATTACACCCAAACTTACGAGAGAAATAAATGTAGGCCATGTAAATGTTTTTCCCGACCCTGGAATCGAATCCGAGACCTCTGCGTGACGTCCAGCGTGGTAACCGTTCGGCCACGGAGGTAGTTAAATATATTATATATAAATGTTTGTTCTTTCCGTCGTCACTCCTAGAAGTGGGCGTTTAAACGAAAAGCACTAAAAAGAAGTTAGCTTCTTAAAAGAAGCACATAAGCACGCTTTTAAATTTAAGCATAAGCGTTGGTCAGTACAGTACTCAACAATTAGATTTTTTACAACGTGCTTAAGTTTCAAGTCCCGTCATCGATTTTTCCTAAAAAAATTAATTCGTCAATAATAATTTTATAAATAAAAAAGAAATCGTGTTTTACAAATAAACTTACATAGCTTAAAACGTTTAGTGGTCTGTTCTTGCTTTTCGCTATCAACACAACGTTGAAAGTTTTTGTAACATAAACAATTTTGTAAGCTTCAAACTAAAAAGCGCTTTCATCTAAATGAAAAACGTTTAAAAAAATAAGCAGTCTTTCCCATCTCTAGCCACTACAATAAGCACAATGAATAATAATACGTAGGAATATTTTAACGTATCTACTCTATCATGGCGTCACGTCCTGCTGATAGGCAAATAATTTTCACTAAAGGAAAAGCAATTCCAGTTTATGCATGTAAATATATATATTTATATATCGATATATATCAATTTGCACATCGCGACTTTACTGAAAGCTGTGTACTGTGGAGCAGCGTTTGATTCATCTATAATTCAAGGGCTCTCACTTCGACTCTGTCGCTTACCGGCCGCAACCGCAGAATACGAATTAATTCCATTAATCAGTCACGAAGGACAGAAATCTCTCTCTGCTCCATTTACACTTCATTATAATAGTTATACCTACAAGCTATGGGTAAATACGTACAGCATCTACCGCCTAGTATTACTAAAAATGTTTTACTTCGTTATGCAGTGGAATTTCGAATAGAGATAAATAAAAAAGTTACAATTAGAATACTAATAGGTTATTTACTTTTTGCTTAAAGCATCTGAGGAAGTGGAAGTGATTTTAGTCACTAAGGATTATGATAAAAAATATACGATTATGATGATTCTTTTTTTGTTCTAAAGAGGATACTCCAGTAGTAGTTTCATTTAAATTTGAAGAAAATATTCTACCTCTAAAGGTAGCAAATTTGGCAAATAAATGTAATTCCACGAAATTTTGAGGTCTTTTTTTAGTACCTACTTTGTACTGAGATTATACTCGTATACATTATTACCCACCGATTTAAACCACGTCAGGTCGCCGTCTGACAGTCTTGATAATCGTGACAGTAACAAGTCTTGTATATTGTTAAAGCAGGTCATTGGGTTGAGTGCTGAAAAAAGCTTACTTTCCTTTTTTCGTATTTAGGATCATTGCTTACTTTTATATACATAAAGCTACAAGATTAGACTCTCTGATAGAAATAGTA